GAGAGAGAGGGGGGGGAAGAAAGAGATACAGAGACAGAGAGAGAGAGACAGAGAGAGACAGAGAGAGACAGAGAGAGATAGACAGACAGACAGATAGACAGACAGAGAGAGGGAGAGAGAGAGGGGGAGAGAACGAAAGGAAGAAATAGACAATGAAGCAGAGGAAAGTGTGAGACACTTGCCCAAAAAAAGAGGGCCCTGATCGATCGCAAGAACCCACCCGGGCAGTGAATCAGAGTCGGGAGGGGTGACGCAGCACGGGGGACGGGTGACGACATGGAGGAGGAGAGAAACAATGAGGCTGTATTGTGTATTTGTACAAACGTAAAATAACGCGGGCCCCAAAATGCATAGAACACTATGGTGCACACGTGTCTCCCTCAAGCACCACCTGGAGAAAGAGTAACAAGCTAGCTGGGAACCGGGCAGGCCTGCCTGCTACACGAGGGGTCTGTTGGGTGGTGGGTACATGTACCCGGCGAAGACGACACGAGAGATTTGTAGGTGGCTTGTGTGCCGTCAAACAAAAACGGTGTTCGTTTTCTATTCATGGCTTATTGGCTGAAGTCACTGGTTGATGACTAAATAGGACACACACCTACACTTTCAAAACAAAAAAAAAGATGCTTCGACTGTGGTACCATGTCGAACGAGTAGTCATTCTGTGACTTTACGTATATATACTCGTAGAATAAATACTCCTATTTTCATGACATAACACGCACTGGAATGAAACACAAAAGGACAAGCAAGTATCATATATGCGCACACACCTGGAGGTCGAACGCGAAGGTTTCGTTCCACGTGGCGACCTTTCCTCCGTCCTCGTGCACCTTTGTCTTCACCTTCGTGCCGGCCCGCCCGGCCCACAGCTTCAAGTAAGGGTCCTGTCGGCCGATCAGCTGTTGAAGCGAAAAAAATCGTAAGAATAAGATGGAGGGATACACGAGCGGCAAAAAATCAATGACTGGTGAAATGGATTTTCAGACTGGATAGAAGAAAGGGGTGTGGAAAGTGAAAGGAGGCACCAATGAGAAGACGAGAGAGGCAGACGACATGTGACGGGGACGCTCACACTCGGTGAAGAAAAGTCTATCAAGACAAGTGATGTTGGGTGGGCGGGTATGACAGTAGTCTACGCAGAAAAAACGATTAAACAAACATACGGGATAAAGTATTCAATCCGTGCTTTGCAGTTAGGGTTAGGGTTAGGGATAGGGTCTGCGTGCCCCCTCCCTGTTCCTTTTCTAGATACTCTTAAAAGCCTGCGTAGGCGGTCCGGGTATGACGAGAAGGGGGCTACGCAGGGGCGACAATGCATGGTGCATCGCACGCACACATACGTCGCACCTACTTCCGGGGACACACACGGGGAGAGTAATCCCCTCTACGATCACACGCCTCCTCCTTCCTTTCCAACGATATCGTGGCAAGTGTCCCCCATCAACCCTCTTCGCGTCTTCCACACTTCCGCCCAGTGCGATGCTGCGTACTCACAACCAGCACCGAGCTGCGCACTTTTTAAACTCTTAAAAATGTGTGCAAAAGCATCATCACTGCTGTTCGTTCACCAATGCCAGCATTCAACACACGAGCATCATTTACGAAGCACCTTCAATTGCCAACAACCAACGCACATCTCGACAAAAGCTGTGCCAAATGCTGCCTTGCACGACCGTTACAGTACCTGGACGTTTTTGAGACCCCTGGCCTCCTTCGCCACGATGTACAGCGTCTTGGAAGGGGTGGGCGCCTGCATGTTGTCCGCGGGTCTCCCACGCTCCGCAATCACGCCCGGGTATCTACCACCAGAATCTACGAAATCCACCACCAGAATCTACGAGACGCGTTCGGCTGCTGCGTGTCTTCCTTGCCCTGTCGCGGGGAGTTGCTTGGATCCGCAGTGGCGTTTCTTTGTGTTCTTTTTGCCAGGCGTTCGCGCTCCTCCTGTTGTTTTCTCCTTGTCTTCCCTGTGCATTGTTTTTGGGGGAGTCGCAGACAGTCACGAAGGGAAGGGGGGATGGGGGCGGCGATAGGGAAAAATGGGTAGGGCGCGTTTGTGGATGAAATACATTACAATATCAATGGAACTCTTTGGTGCATGGGTCCTCTTCGAAAGGACGACGCGAGGTATCCACCAAACACACCGCTAACATGCTCTGGTTTGGTGCTTGTGGAAGGCTTGAGTTGTGAGACAAGAGGCATTGCCAAGAATGCTGACTTGAGGTCATCCGCTGACAATACGTTTTGCAGATGCGGCTCAATATGAGCCCCACTTATAAACGTCTCTCATCGCACCAAGTGCTACGGTCACCGAAGCGGAACGTCGGCGGCAGCAATTATTTTCCAGGAAAAAATATTTTACACAAGATTTCGCTCTCCATGCTTCCAATTCTTGGAGAGGTGGTTCGTTTTAGTCTGTCGGCGGTGGTTCATCTGTTCAATCTGGAGGCGATCTTACTACTATCTGTCGAAAGCAAACTTGTAAAAGGAAAAAAAAATACGAACACAGAAAGACTGGTTAAACGTTGACGCACGGCAAGAACAAGTGCGTCTTCAACACGTCGTTTGCATCCTGATTCGAACCTCGAAGTTCAACAACCCTAACCCGGACGCAATTGGTCAATGTGAGGCCAATTTATCGTCATAGGCACAGCAGCCGTACTGCCGTCGGTGGGCGTGTACGGGGTACTCCACAGGCTAAGATAAGAGGCCGGGTACATATCACCAATCGTGAAGAACGCAGAAGACCACCAACTCCCACCACTTTGTTTTTCTTTCGTACGAAAAGCAATCAACAAGTATTCATCTCTCCACCAAAACGGCAAGCAATCTACTTGCTCAAGACCACCGTAGGTTGAAAAGATATCACACCCCCTGAACCGATTTGCAGATCTCGACTACGCTCGGCAGGAGAAACAGCGACGGTGCCGAAAATGGCGGCTTTGGAAACACGCTTCGTCGAGAGCTTTCCGCAAAAAACATTTGATATCGGCATCCTCTTCTACGCGGAGTAGTCAGGCATTGCAAATGGGTCCAGGGGGCGTGTTATCTTGTGCAACCTACGGCTCAAGCTAGCCTTCGTCAGTATGCAGACAATAGAACATGATTCTCTCCTCTCAGGAAGGAGAGCGCCAAGTGCTCCTGGAGTCAAGAGATTCGGAGATGGAACGAGTTCTGGTTGGTTGTTGACACGTCACCAAGCAAAGCGGGGGTGTACTGTAGTGTACCCGCTGGGAAGATTATTGGATAAGGTAGGCATGGGTGCTATGCTGCTGCTGTGTCACCACCGTCGTACGATGTGTCTGCGGCACCCAAGCGCCGGCACGTTCATTGCTTGCGCGGCGGGTCGAGTCGATCTCATAAATTTATTCTTATGGTGGGAACAACCGACAGAGGAACAAAAGAAACCGCTATACCACTGCCCTCGACCAATAGCTATTGCAACGCTCCACGTTCACACGCGTGTCCTACGTCACCCCTGGCTCGCCCGCGCAGAGTAGCGGCTTGCCTTGCGCACAAGCGTCTCGTGTTGAGGTGATGATGTGATGATGCATCCGACCTGCGGCGTAAACTTTCGAGAAAAAGCCTAGAGGAACGAGTTCTTGCGGGCGGGCGTTCAGGAAAACCCACCGACAGACATGCCACTACAGGAGAAATGTCATGAAATAAAACCCCGCACGCAGACAGGTTACCCGGTCCTCGAGTTGCAGTTTGATCCTGGCTTTGTTTAGTGCTTGTGGGCTTTAAAGTCGTGCCTTGCAATACTGCAATGGTTCCTCTCGGTCCTCAAGTCATGCGCGAAAACTATCGCCATCTTCCGGTCGCACACCACGTTTGGTTCAAAATTGTGCGAATAGATTCGAAAACTGCGTTGTTGTTTGTCGGGTTGCTCTTGCGGGGAAGCGCGGTGAAGAACAAGAATCAATGGCAACTGCCCAACCCACGGTTGGGATGTTGGCGTGAGGGGAGAACTAGCGGGAGGGTTGGGGGCGTGTGAAGACAAAAGCATAAGGGAAACTGCTACTCTTCCAACTGCACAGGTTGGCGGCCTGTTTTCGCCATCTCAACACTCTCATCGTGCACTCAAACGCCAAGACAAGAGAAGCACATAGCCCTATCACTCCCGCACCTAGGTAGTAGTTATTAGCCCTTGCTCACAGGTAGCGGCTGATGTGCAGCGTGGAGGGTATTTCCTCGATATTTATCGTAAAGAGTGGTCTTGTGTGCTCTGGCCGCTACTGCTGAACCTGACGAGCGGACGAGCAAGCGGGTGGTCTTTCGTAGCTCGTCGTTGATTGGTCGAAAAGCTGACAGGTCCGTGTTGCTTTCTGAATCGGAGAGGGAAAGGCTAGACGGCTAGACAGGCACCGACAGGAGAGAGGCCAACACAGAACGTGGCACAGAGATTAAACAAGTAGAACAGAGCGGTACAGCGAAGGCCAAGGGAAGTCCAGGGCTCCGTAGGCTGCGGGCAAGTGTTGGTGGACAAAGTCAGGGAGTGGTATATCTCCTGGTGGGTGCGACTACATCAGGAACAGACTAACATTTTCATCCCTCGCAGTGGTTCTGTTTGTGGATGGCCGCTCGCTCGTGGGAACACGGCCAGACGAGTTATCGATGACTCACGCTGCAACAGGATGGCCCACTCTGGTGAGTGCATCGCGTTCATGACGAGCTTTCAAGCCAACGCAAGCGTGTCGATGTGTGCCACTATTTTGCATCCTGTTCCTGGTACACACTAAGCAGCCAGCAGCTGCAGCAGCAGCAGCAGCAGCAGCAGCAGCCGCAGCAGCAGCAGCAAGCAGCAGCAGCAGCCGCAGGTATCCTTGGTTGGCAAGGATGGCACCCGCACACCTTTAGGGAATGCAGTATGTACCAAGCATGGTGGGACCAAGAACTCTATTTAAACAGCAGTTTGGGGCATTGCAGGCCTTGCAATCATGCGGCATCTGTTGCTTTCACGTTCCACAACAGCAGTGCGGCAACCCGGTCCAAAGTTTTTTTTTCTTAATATGACACAACGAGTCCATCTCATCATAGAAAAGAGTCAGAGACAGATTAACAATGGAATCATAGCGTCAGAGAAAACTATTTACCTGTATGTCTACAATTTCCCAGACAGCATATAGGGACATCTCCCCTGTGGGTAACAGGCTCAACAAATCAGTTTGGTAGCTGTCTTGTGTGTCTTATATAATGTTGTTGTTGTTTCTCACATTATTCCTATAGTCTAGTCCACAAAAAATGGGGAGCCCGTAGTCTCAAAACCTGGCACATACGACGCCGCGGGGAAACAAAACGAAAATAGGGTACAAACCACTCGGAACAAGAAACCAAAATGATAGAGTCCGTCGGTTAAATTNTTACCTGTATGTCTACAATTTCCCAGACAGCATATAGGGACATCTCCCCTGTGGGTAACAGGCTCAACAAATCAGTTTGGTAGCTGTCTTGTGTGTCTTATATAATGTTGTTGTTGTTTCTCACATTAGCTCTATAGTCTAGTCCACAAAAAATGGGGAGCCCGTAGTCTCAAAACCTGGCACATACGACGCCGCGGGGAAACAAAACGAAAATAGGGTACAAACCACTCGGAACAAGAAACCAAAATGATAGAGTCCGTCGGTTAAATTTTTCCACAATATGACCCCCACTTTTTCTCGCTTGTTTTTGAGAGTTTACACGCGAAAAAAAGTTGAGAAGAACCGCAAGGTCGAGAAGCATCGATATCCGGGGTCAATTTTTTTTTTTGGTGAGAATGGCCGTTTTTGGGCGAAAATTGCCCCGAAATTACCCCGAAACGCCGCGTATTGTCCCGAAACGGCACGTATTACCCCGAGTACAGCCCCGCAGGCAGGGCCCTGCACCTATAGCTCGGCAGCGCCGAGTAGAACAACCTTTTTCGCTTGATAGATGTATATTCTATCTACATTAAGTTGTGTCCTATATATTCTATCATCTAGAATACTATATACCATGTCGGTTAAGACCACATGTAAATTTTTTATATCGAAGTATAAAGGAGCAGGACGCAAATGTAAGGTAGAATATCTATCTACCTATATGGTTACACAGATACAACATCGCGCCGGCTGGTGCTGCCGGTGAAGTGAGGTGGTGCGAGCTTTGCCGCTACGAAACGCTTCAACATCTTATCGGCAGCCTCGTAAGACTTTTTTCTGGCCTCCTTGGCCGCGGCAAGGGCGGCCTGCTCTTTGGCCTTGCGCTCCTCCGCGGTTGTTGCTTGGCCACGAGCCAGCAACACGTTGTCGGCCGTGTCGGTGGGCGAGCGGTGGTTCGTCCACTTCTTGAGGTCTCGGGTTTGCAAGTAGCCCTCAAGCCCGTGGCTGTAGGCATATATGTACAGCCAGGAAACACGGGCCCATTTTCGGCACAGTGACAAAGAGACAGTGCTCAGCGTCATGGGAAGCCTTGCAAGCAGACTCAGGACGGAGTAGTCGCAGACACGGCGCTCGATAGACTTGGTGTAGCCCCAGAAACGCTCGATAGCATTGAGCTCCGGGTGGTACCTGGAAACCCCGCAAGAGCAGAGAAGGAAACTTAGCGCA